AAAACGACAGAAACACTAAATTTTACGGAAGAAATGTTAGAAGGAAGCTGCATCCAGGCATTTTTTAAAAATTGAAAATGGGCGTGGCGTCGCCCACTTATGGACCAAAAACCATATCTCAGCAAATACTCGACCGATTTCAATCACAACCACGCCTGAAATCTCGATTATCACTTTATCATGCGACAGTATAAAATGTTCGGTGACACCCGAACTTAGCGCTTCCTTACTTGTTTTTTTAATTAAACCGATAAAGAAATGGCTCAAATAAAGGCCCCAATAGGTAAGATATCATTCGATTTTTAATGAAATACTGCTATCGTAAAACCTTTTTATGAAATGCCAATAGTGGCAAATCATATCAACGTGAAAGCATTCATTTAAGGCCGCTTGGCGTGGCTGGCATGCAACATGTGCGACGGCAATTTGCAAAGCATTTATTCAATCGAAAGTAAATATGGGTCAGCAGACAATAATCTAGGTGTATCTTAGAGTTACTTAAACAATGCAATCAGCCGCCAAGAATTTGCATATGTCGTGCCTCGAGGCGAGGCATTGGCTGCAAGCCACAGGTCATCGGGCACGTGCAGAACGTGGCGAGTGGTGTGCCGCAGCCAACTATTTCTGCGCTCGCGTGGCTTCTACAAATTGCAAGTATTTGGAAATTTTTCATTTTGTACAAATATCTCGAGAATAGTCGCAGCCAAAGTGGGACCGGAAAGCGGATGCACAATTCACAATTCGTGTGCTGAGGGAAAATTGTTCGCATTGTTGCTGGGAATAAGGGTGTTGTCAAAGGTGCAGCGCGTAATTGCAGCRAATTAACGGACTKTGGTTTGATGAAAGTGCTTTGGCCGGCTCCATTGGCSAAYACGAGGGTGTAGCGCACTTAAGATTATTAAATAGTATATAAAGCAAAGCAAGAAATTGCCTGAATATATGTCAKGGCGCCATGGCATCAAGCATTATTGAACACTCCCTGAAATCTGCTGAACTATTAAGCTGGTCTATTCAAATCAATTGGGCTCCTTCTTTGCTCAATTCATTTGTGAAGTAAGTACACGTGCACATAAATTTGTACAAAATTAATGGAAACCTGCAGCAATTTCCGCAATTACTCCATCGACAGTAAGCGTAAAATTACTCAATGGGTCAATTGACTAATAGGCGCTGGAAGGGAAGGGGGTATTATAWATAGAGGAGTTTGATTTGTAGAAAGCGTAATCTTAAATGTAGCTTTTTCTTATTCAACTGTGACTTTTCACTAATAAACACACGGAGCAAAGAATTCTGATATACACGTACACAACGATTCGGCTAAGCATTTACTCACTACTTTTATCTCCAGCTGCGTAGACAGGCAAGTCGCCTGTGTTGCGTATGACTTAAAGCCTTGACCTGCTTTCATTTCAGCCCGTTGGCACCCTCTTTTCCTGGCATGCCTTGAACAAGATTGAACTCTTCACATAGGATTTTCCCAGATCCGTATTGTGAAAGTAGTACAAATAAACAAAAAA